ACCGAGGATGTAATTATACGCCTGGCTCCATGGATTTATACGGGAGCTGCCTTCCTTGTGAGCAGCTCCCGCAGGGCTTCAAGGAAGCAGCAGCACAAAGACGGCAGCTCCCAGAAAGTGGCTGGGTGTTACGAGGGCACCCACGGGGATGGACAATGCCTCACACAGCAGCCAGACATCCATTTTACCAAAACCGTGCAGGAGGCACCTACCCGTATGCACCCCCAGGCAGTGACCCTTCAGGGACAGTCAGAGCTTGCAGCCTTGGCTCTGCTCAGAGGTTTTAGCACCAGCCTACCTTCTAGGGGAAATGAAACCAATATGGATAAATACATATCAAAGAGCTCAGCGGTTCAAAAATAACCTCACGGGTTCACTGAGGAGGCTGAAAAGGAAATGCTGGAGATTGTGTCTCGAGCTTTGGGAGATGCTGTCCCCAGCTCCTGAGAAAACATCTGTTAGAAAGAAGCATAAACTGCCTGCTCTGAAGCTGCCCTGGCAAGGTGATTTTTAGTGTATAGATTCTTGTTTAGGAATGATCTTTCTACTTTTTAAAAAACTTTTTTACTACTTAGAGCAAATCACAAAACATTTTACACTAGCCAGGCAGGAGACCAATTCCCAGTGATAGGAGTAGGGCCACAGAAGCTGTAACAGAAGGAAAATGAGATTATTTGAGGAAACAATCCTCTTTCTTCATGAAAAATAACCAAACAAGCAGCAGAGCCTGTCTGAGTGCAGGTTGGGTGCTGCTGCTCCCAGGCCAGCATCAGCAGGGCTCTGGCTTGGGGGGTGCTGCCTGCCTGGGCTCCAGGGGGGGACCTGAAATTAATTTGGGATTGAGGTCAGCGTTTCAACGGGATTCACCAGCCAAGCCTGAGACTGACCCTGCAGGCAGGCAGGGAAGAGGAAGGAGTAATGCAGACTCCCTTTCATCACGTCACACCAAACCCACGAATAATCACATTCAGTTCAGCTTTTCTACTTCCCACTCAGGATCCAGACCCATGATCACATTTTCCACCACGTAACAGGCAGTGATTTCTCAGGTAGTTTCGGAAGTCCCCAGAAAGGGGTCCCCACGGCCATGTCCAGCATGCTACCCCAGCCCACTCCTCCCTGCCACAGGTCTCCTCGTCTCCTCCTTTGCATCGATGCTGCAGCGCAGCCCCGGTGCTGAGGGCAGCGGTGCTGGTCCCTGCACGGCCATGCACCCTCGCAGCAGCCACCCTGCCAGCCCCTCAGTCTCTCTCCCTTTCAACCCCTTCAGGCAGTGACGGGAAAACAGATCCCAATCCCCATCTTCTCCCCCCCACCAAAAAAAAACAGGGCATCAAACATGCAGGCACACGCCAGACAAGGAACGAAAGGTTTGTGCTTGAGCTACAAACCAACAGAACCAGCACAAGAGATTTTCGTGTAAAGAGAGAAGAACAACTCAGCTGTGACAACATATCCACAACAGCTAAATTTAGCAGGTTATTTTGGGAGATCCAGATGCTGGGTAAATACAACCTTATTATTTCATGCAGGGGCAAAAGTTCAGCAGAGTCCCTTGTGCTTCTTTTCTCTATTATTTCACCACATCCAGTCGCAGAAGCCCAAGTTTGAAATACGGTAATATCATCATCGCCTAGATGCACTGAAAGAAGCCATGAGTTCAGTCCCTGTCCCTCACCAGTTAGAGACCACCGCTTAATGACCTTTGCAGATCATGCTCCTGATCCTACTTTTGGAGAGGCCTGATGCTGCATTGGCAGGAATTTGTTCGGAGGATGCAGTTTTCACGTGCGTGGCTGGTGTGCGAGCCTTTCCTTTCTGCTTTGTCCAGAACAATACATGGGAAGTGAATGTCAGAGAGGAAGTGGAGGGGGTTAGGAAATCCATGGAAACCTGGCCCTGGCTGGGACTGCTCCAGCGGGACGGCTTGGGGCTGCGCAGCAGGCACTGTGTCCCACACAGCCTGGGGACCCACACGGTGGGTCCTGCTGCTGGGCAGGTCGATGGGTGTGTGGATGGGACGGGGGACACACATGAGGCTACCCACTCACACCACAGGGAGGGAGGGTTCACCATGGGATTGGGGGAAAGGGCTCTCTGTCCAGGTAGCGCACTGTAGTTTTGGCTGGTTTGTCTCAAAAATCAAAGTTCGGGGGTTTTTTCTGTCAATTCAAATTGTCTGGGGGACAGACTGGGTGTGACTACCCCATGGTGTTGGCAATGCCCTACTGGGCTGGCAGCCGCTGCCAGGAGGAGACTAAATCCCCATGTGCTCCTGCTGAAACGTTACCTCCAAGCAAGCAGATGAAATCCAAGTTGTTTTCCACTGTTACTGCTGAGGGAGCTGAGCATGGCATACCCCGCTATTTTAAGGAGAGTGGGAAGCAGCAGCGACTTCGTACAGCTGGCGTTCAAGGAAGGCGGCACAGCCCCAGCTCCCGGCTGCTCGCGGGCAGGGATGGGGCCTGGGAGCAGGGAATGGCTCCGGCTGCACCTTGGGAAGCAGCTCAGGGAATTTGGCGGGTGTGGTGGGCGAGCAGCATTTCTGCGGGGGCAGGGAGAGGGCAAGCTCCGGGAACAATGGAAGAGCCAAGAGAGGCACGTTCCCAACAGCTACTGGGATAAATGCAGAACCAGCTCAACCCTGCGTCACGACATTGCCTCAAGGGCTAAGGTCCTCTTGGCACCCACCCCAAAGAGATTAAAAAAATCAGGGAAGGGAATAGCGTCTCCTGAGACCACTGTCTGAATGTTTCCTTAGGTGATCCCCATTCGTCAGAGCACCTTCTGGGGATGGCCAGCAAGGAACTGCACTGGCCTCTTCTTCGAGCTTTAAAAACCTTAGCGGAGGGTATGAACCGACAGCAGGCTTGCTCCAAGTCCAGTGTAAATCCCACAAAAGAGGGAGCTTCACCTACACTCCACAGGGCTTCACGCTGTGGGGCACCACGTTGCTGAGGATTGTGGTGATGCCGAGTAGCCCACTATAGCTCCAGTCGATGCATCAAATCAGAGGCGACAAATCCTTCAGTGTAAAACCTCACAGCTGCTCACGGAGGGGAGGGCTCCTGCTCCTCCTGCCCCCAGACCCCTGTGCGGGGGTGATGCCATGGCAGTCGAGCATCCCTCCAGCAGCGTGGAGCTCATCAGGCCAGGACGTGTGGCCAGGAAGGTGGGGGCTGGGAGTGCTGTGAATGTAGCTGAGCCTTTACCAGGAGAGACTTGGATTCTACAGTCAGTTTTAACAAAGGGGGAAAAACCCTATAAACATACTTCCTCCAAAATCCAGCCGTGGATGTGATCTGTAAGAGTCTTCCTTGCGCCTTCCCTTGCACAAGGCTCTTTAACCCTTCCTGACAGACTCTTGATATTCATGTTGTTAATCTCTCCCATGAAAGGGCAAAAGAGACCACCCAGAATTACCTCTGGAGCTCCGTTTACAAAGCACCTTTTGTTGCCCAGAGCTTTCCTGTGCTCATGAGCTGGCTGGGTTCAGAGCTCACCTAACGCTTACATGGATGAAAAACAAAAGGCTGGGTCATTGCCCTACAGTTAGGGGAACTGCTCAGAGATCCCCAGGCACATCTCACAGGCTCCCTGCAAGGTGGTGTTTCCCGTTTCAAGGGCCGGAGGCTCAGCAGCACGGCCAGCATCACTCCTCCCCACCTTCGCTGCCGACAGCCATCATCTGGGGGACACACACACACATGTTTTGTGCTCTGTGGCGAAAGCAGAGGAGCCAACACAGAGCAGAGGAGTGCTCCAGGGTGTCTCTGCTTCCAGAGCTGCTGAGGGCTAGTGACCACAAGCTGACCGTAGGACTGAGCCAGGTTTACTTCTGGAGGTGTCACTGAGCAAAGAGCCCCCACTACACCAACCAGTGAAGTTATAAAATGCAGAACCTCTACTCATCTTGCCCATGAGCTGGGCCACATTTGGCAGCAGGGCTGTTTCTCTGGGGTGGAACAGGAGGACAAAGTGAGATCCAGAGCATTTCCTCACAGCCAGGCAGAGCAGCAGCCAGGACCAGCAACGTCATTTCAGATACGTTTAGCAGCAGGGCCCTGCACTGTTCTTAAAATGAGATGTCTTTAAACTGCTGTGCCCCATCCTGGAGCCCACAAGCCATGTCTCTAGCCCTGGTCCCCACTCCCACAGGCACACACCTCCTCCTCCTCCTCCTCCCACAGACTGCCTCCAGCCTTCCAGGCACCCATGAGCCCCCCACAGCAGGGTGGTCCCGACCCCCAGCCTCTCCCCCCACGCCTCTGCAAAGAGGCAGTTAGGGCAGAAGCAGCCTGTGGACACATGCACGATAACCACAGCTCAGCCCAGAGCTGCACCGCGATTCCCTCCTGCCTTGCTGTCACTGGTGAGACATCTCAATCACACAAAGCTGAGGGGGGTCCAAGCCAGGGGAGACCCTCCTTCCCACAGCATGGCAGTTTCAAAGCTCTGGAGCTCCTAATAAGCTTATCTGCAGAGCACTAAGTTGTGCGCCACAAAGAAGAGAGGAATTGAAAAGGAAACAGAAAGGAGCGGAGCTGCCGCTGGGCTGGGCCGCGCTGGTTGAACAGCTCACGGCGTCGGCAGAGCGACAGTGGTGCAGGGATGCCAGCACCGGGGCTCGTGCCTCTCTGCAGGGCTGCTCCACTCACGCAGCTGCTGGGATTTCATGCCACTAACTGGTGATTACTGCAGCGTGTGGCCAAGCCACACTTGCAGCCAGAGCGAGGAAAGGATGGAGAGAAGGAGGGGCTGGGCACGTCTTGGTGGGGTCCCTCCTGCACCCCTGGGGCTCGAGGGGTGCCCTGGCTTGCACTGTCTCACACAAATTGCCTTTTCTATCCCTTTGAAAAATAACAGCTTGAGGGGAAAAATCATACTGCTGGCAGAAGAAACCAGAAGCCCAGAAAAGGGATAGTCCTCTTCTTCTCATAACCCCTGCCCGTTGCCACAGCGAGAGCATTCCCACCCTGAAAAATATTGTCGCAGCTTACCTGCATCTTTTTTGTCTTCTAGCAATGTGAAACACTGAAAAGAAAGAAAAAAGAACAAAAATCATTTTGTTATCATTTTGATTTTCACATTCATAGATTCTTACCATTCACATTTGGGCTCAGTCCCTGCTCCAGCCTCCTTTCTGCCAGGAGAAGAGCTGGGACCAGCAGTGCCTGCTCCAGCTCTGTGGACAAACAGAGCTCTGGCAAAGGCTTGTCCCAAGGACACCAGACCCACTGGATTTAAAACATCAGTGCCAAACACGGCCCAGAGCACTGGGCAAATGCAGTGTGCCTAGCATGCACCCACCATCGTGGCTCCCAGCTTGCTGGAAGCCATCACAAGAGGAGCAGCAGCTGGGACCAGGGGCTCTGTATCTGTGGGGAGAGGAGGGGGGCTTCAGAGACGGAACTTTCTGCCTGACAGCTTGAAAAGGGCACTGCAAAAATGCCAGAGAGGGGACATGTAGGCAGACAAGGGCTGTCAGACCCACAGCACGAGATCAAAAACAGAGGTAACAGAGGTTAGGAGGACGCAGTCTCTTCCTCCGAGCATGGAGAGCGTGGTGCTCTGTTCCGAGACCTGTGAGCCACCCGTACACTGTGCATCACACCCGGGTCCGCTCCCATTCTGGGGCTGGGGCTGGCTCTGGGCGGCACTGGGGAAGCCTTGGTGGGCAGACCCTCACTCCAGTGGAGGAAGCACCGGGCTGGGGTCCTGCTGAACACATCCCTCGGTATCTGTGCTGCCCAGATGGCAGTGGAGATGTCCATGTTTTAACTGCATTAGCAGGTCTGGGAACAGAGTGTACAATGGTGTGTGCAGGCACAGAAAGCTAACAATAAAGAAAGGAAAAAAACAAAGCTGAAAGCAGGCTGCACTCAATCCCCAAGCCTCTCCACAGGTCCAGTACCCAGGGTGGGGAAGGGGCCACGAGCACTACGCACAAGGTCTGCCCCTCACCTGGAGCTGAACTTCTGTAGGGACAAAGCCAAGGAAAATAGGATTTGCAGACAGCAGAGCCTTGCCAGCACATGGGAGACGACTGCGATTTGCACAGAGGAGATGGAGGAGCAGGAGGGTCCCAACGCTGCCCAGGTCCCGAGGTGAGCACAGAGCCCAAGACCCTCCCCGGGCCCCTCTCTGGGAGCAGGTGAGCCCCCTCCAGTGCAGCAGCAGCCGCACTGAGCAGGGCCCGAGGTGCTGGCAGGGCAGCAGGGATTGCTGCAGGAATGCAGCGCGCTGCTGAGCCGGCCTTTCCCACGGGCCTCCCGGGACCCCTCTTCCTGCCGGGGCAATGGGGCTGGGGATGACCCGAGGGGAGAGGGGCTTAACCATCTCCCCACTGCCAGGTGTCTTGTGGCAGCGCCTGCCTGAGAGGTGCCCATCAGCAGGGCCGGGGTTATCGCTGCAACCCCAGAGCATGCCTGTGTTTGCAGAGGGGAGGTCACCAGGCTTCTCTGGCTCATTTGGCATTGCTGAATCTGTTCCCACTGGAGAGAAGTGCAGGGAGCCGCTGCTGCTGCCTGCTCGGCTCTGTCCTCCTCAGGGAAAGCCTGCACAGACGCCCAAGCCCCGATCTGGCAGCGTGTGAGCAACTGGAGAGCAGAGCTGAAAATGTTTAGAAAGGGAGATGATCACCTATCATGTCTGTTATCACAAGCTCTGCAAACATCAGGCATGCAGCCTGCACATGTGGTAGATGCCCACAAAGTCGGGCACAGTCTGGCAGACAAGGAGGCAGGGCTGCTTTCTCGGGCCATAGCAAGGGCAGTGCAAGCTGGTCCAAAGGCAGGTTTGGGGAGCCACTTCACCCCTACTGTCGTGTCTTGGTTCTAACACCTTTTTCCCATGAAATTTTCCACCAGCCACAGCTCCACCTCATTTAACCTCGAAAGTTTTAATTCCACAGACAGAACCCTGCATGTTCCTCCCACTTCAAGAAATTCCTCTGCTGTTCTTTGCAAGTAGCTGAGCAACACCGGCACAGGGAGAAAAACAAGAAAGCAGGCTGAAGCAGAAGTATCAGCCTTGTGTGAGGCCATCTGTGCTTGACGAGGGAAATCAGAAGGGTGGTGTCCTCCATCCCTTCAGCTTCCCAGGTGCCCAGCTGGCCCCAAAGCCCACCCAGCTGCTCGGCCCTGGGAGCAGCTCTCAGCTCTGGCCGGGCAGGGCTGATCCCCAGATGCCCCTCTCCCAAAGCCTTGTGCTCCACCATGACTCAGCCAGCACTTGTGGGACCCAGGTGGGGATCAGCCAGGACTCATTTGCCAGTGAGGGGTGACTGCTGTGGAACTGAAGTGGAAATCTTGGAATGGCAGTCTGCCGATGGATGAAGAAAAGAGGTATGAAGTATCCACCAGAATACATTGTGCTGCTGCAAGTAGAGCAACTGGAAGCTTAAAACTAGCAAAGGATACTACTCAAAGAACACAACCACTCCTGAACTTGGCAATAAGGCACCTGTAGTATCTAGCAGGGAGCCCCTTATCACCATGCTGGAGTTTTGCGATGCTAAATTCAACAAGAGCCTCAGGGGTTGAGCTAATGAGGAAGCACAAACCACAGAAACATCATTTTGTCCCTCACCTCTGAGCACTGGGGAAGCTCCCATCCAGGCAGAGTCCCCCATCATTCACTACTGGGCCTCTGCTCTGAGGGAAACACCACTTTGCTTACACCTCCTGAAACAGATTTTCTTTTTCCCCGTGACAGGTAGCTGGAGGGGGTGAGCCAAGGGACTCACGCACTTCTCCAGGGTTTGTTCTCCTCAGGCAGAATTCATCCCTTCTGATTGTGAAGACCAGCTATCCTACGCCAAATATCTTCTGTAACCTCTAATTCCCTGGAGTTTCCCTTATCACAGGTCTGTGCACAGGACCCTGACCATGACACCTCAGTGCCTGGGGGCGGTGGGGAGGAAGAGCCCCATAACTAAAGGACAAATTTACTTCCAGACCCATGCTCTTACTTTTTTTTATTTTTGCCCATGCTCAGTCCCCATACTGCTGCAGGCATCCTACAAAAGCCTTTTCTGAGCAAGATGCAGACACAAATATTGGCTTAATTAATAAAACCAGAGGGTTCAGATGGGAAATTGTCCTCAGCCAGGGAGCGGGGCTGGGAATGTGTCGGGGTGGGGAGAAGCCCTGTGTGCTGCCCGGGGCCGCAGCCAGAGGAGCAGCTGCAGACGGGGGGCCAGGGGACAGTGAGGGCAAGAGGCATCCCACGGCTCCCAGCAGCTCGCCACCTCCCTGCCACCCAGGCCACCGGACCCTCCCTCAGGCATGAGGTTACCAGGGGTCTGCTGGTTGCTTTCAACTTCGCTGAAGTCCACAGGCAGTGGGGAGCCCAGCATGGGCTGGGCTGGAGTCCTCTGGGAGCTGTAGCTCTGCAGGGGGGGATGCAGGGCCTGGTCCCCATCTCCCTGTCATCATGAGCACCATGGCAATGACAACACGCAGCTCACGGGGTCCAGGAGGGTTAACAAGGACTTGCTAAGCTCTCTGGAGACAGCAGGGACAAGACAGCTACTAATATTATTAATGAATTTCACAAATGTCATTTTTAGAGTCAACTATTTTAAGCTTTGCATTGAAACCCCGGGGGAACAGCGTGCATTCCACATTCATTTCACCATGGCAGATCCGCTTGCTTGACACAGCCTGGTGTACAGCACCGGTTGAAGAGGGACTTCACTGCTTTTTCCAGCCTGAAGCTCCTGAAATCCATACTAACAACACATCCAAAATCTACCCAGCACACCTACCACAGCACTGCACAGGCAATGATACAATAAATCCAACAAAACAAACAGAGGCAGTCAGAGAAAGGGAGAGTTGCACATTATTAAGGCGGCAGATGAGGAATTAAACCCAAATGTAAAATACCAGATGCCATGAGAACCACGGCTGCAGGAAATTAAAAACTCAGGGCCTCCCGTCTCCCTGCTCCTTTGTCATCCTGCTTGCAGCTGCCTTGTCCCTCCAGGTCAGCAAAGCCAGACATGGTCCCGCTGCCATGCCGGGAACGAGCCAAGCCTCCGGGTGAGCCCCAGTTTTCAGGGGATCCCCCAGCCCAGCCACACCACCCGACACACAACCACTGACTGTATTATAACCGCCAGCACGGCATCCGCACAGACACCCTGCCCGCATTCGGCCGGGCACAGCACCCTGCCCGCCCCCAGGGCTGCTGGCACCATCGCCGATGGGTGAGCACAGGGCCCGCTGACCAACGCATCTGCATGCGGCCCATCCAAAATTAACCTTTCACGTGCACGTGGGGCACGGGCACGACATCCCTCCGGAGCAGACGTCAGGCACTGTGCGCAAACCCCAGCCCCACTAGAGACGCCTCCCCCACCATCCCTTCCGGCAGCTTCCCCTGAAACGAGGAGGGTGTCGAAAGACGGACACCACTTAAATAGACGGTTCCTTACCTTGGCTCTTTTGAAGCAAGCCCAGAAAAAATCCAGCAATGGCATGATGGGCCGGGCGGGGGGGCACGCGCAGAGCCTCCCTAGACCACGGCGCTGCCCCCGGCCCCGGGGGGAGCCCACCCCGACACCCCCATGGGTGCTGCCTGCGGCACACAGAGCCGGGCAGAGCCCCAGTGCGGGCAGGAGCTCGGCACAGGCAGGGAGGGAGGAGGAGGAGGAGGAGGAGGAGGCAGCGCGGAGGCGGGCCAGCGATTCAAACCCTGCACCGTTATTCAGTTGGTTGCGAACAGGCTTGGACGGCGATTGAAATTCCCTGAAGATTGCGAGATTTAAACAGCTCCAGGCTTTCCTTCCTGCCTCGAATGCACCGAGCAGCGCTCGGTTCCCAGGCAGCGGGAAGGAGTGAGGGAAAAGAAACACCCCCAGAGCAGAAGAAATGGGAGTTTCGCTGTCAAAGGCACATGTAGGACATTGGAAACCCAAACCCCAGCCGGTTTAGGTTTTCACTCCGGCCCCCGATCCAGCTCGCCAGCAGCAGTCACAGATGCTCTTGAGAGGGCTCCTGCTGCTGTCCCCTCTAAAGGACAAGCTGTACCCGTGTGGTCACGTTGTCGTCCCCGGACGCCCGTGCCACAACCCGCAGCCTCTGCACGCACCGGTGCGGCCGCGTTCACTGCGGGCAGCCGGCGGGCACCGCTCGGCAAGCCTGCAGGTATGACCCCAGCAGGGAGAAAAACAAGGGGAAAAAACACCCCCTGGCCAACAGATGTGGCCTAAGCCATTCGCTCCAACTCTATTCACAGCTCCTTATCTTCCTTCCGCAAACATTTGTGCAAACTTAGCATTTGTTCCCATGAAGGACCATAATAAAAGGCATTGCCACAAACTTCTGTACAACCCCTTCAGTTCACAGGCTTCCAGGCGAGAAGTCTTCTTGCAGGCACATAAGAAAGCCCCACTAACTGGCGATTTACAAGATTATTTCAGAATAAGCAATGACAAGTTGATCAGCAGTGATGCCTAGGCTGAGCCACGCTCCTGCAGGACACTTGGTGGATGCCCAAAGAGCCGGTAGCAACACTCCTGCCCGCCGAAGCAGGACCAGCACCTCAGCAGACCATCCCTGCCTGTCCTGGGCCATCTTCACTGCTTTTCCCCTCCTGTCACCACTGCCCACCAGATCGCCTGGCTTTGTGCACGTGGGGGGCTCTGAGACAGCCTTGAGGTGCTGGCGAAGTGGAAGACCATCAGGGAGAAGAACAGAGGAGCAAACAAAGCAGGATCAGGACATGGCTGGGTCAGTGGCAGTGCAAGCACGGGACATCCCGTGGTGTGGCAACTCCTCCCGGCCACAGCCACCACCATCACTGAGCCAAAGGGGGCTGCTCAGATCCCAAATCTCCCTTACAGCAGGATCGGTGCATTCTGCAGTGAAAAAGAAACAGTGACCACTGCTCCTGCAGGAGCAGAGGGGATAAGGCAAGGACAGGAGCGTGGAAGACCAAGACGCAGCAGAGCTGCAGAAGCTGGCATCAGGCACCCAGAGCATCCCGCAGAGCTGCCCCGCAGGCAGGCCCCCCCGACCCGCAGTGCGGCCCCGGCACGGCCCCGGCAGCCGCACATGGGTGGCGACAGTCCCGGAGCCGGCTCCAGCTGCCTCCTTCCATCTCCCCCTCGCTCATTCCTCAGCGACATTTTGGCACCACTCCCGGGCTTGGCACCGGCCGCAGCTCCTCCGCCGGGTTCCCTGTGTTACTGGGCCAGCACAGCGGGGCTGGGGGCACCGAAGCACAGCCTAAGCTTTGTGCATTGAGCTCTTTTCTCCTCCTTTAAACACCCAGGGCTAGGAAGACAGTCTCACGTCTATGGGACGCTTGCCCGGGGTCACCTTTCCTAGCAAGCCTTTTACCCATGGGAGGATGCACATCGGAGTTAAAGCCAGACACTGCTGCCTGATGGCCAGGCACCCTCTGTAACGCACTCACTGCTGCCTCAAGGGCCACAGTCTCTATTCTGAGAACTTGCAAATAGTTCCCCACAGTGGATGAAGGCAGCTGGGATGAGTGCCCATTTCCAGATGACCCCGTTCAGCTCACTGGGTACCGCTACCATAGTGTGGAAGCTGCCAGGCGTCCTGCCACTGTGGCAGAGCTGCTGAAGGACATCACCACCATGGGATCCTGCAAAAGGCGCTCCAGCCATCCTCATTCTGCTCAGCTGAGGAAACTTCTCAACACTTCTTACAGGCTTTTTTCCTTGGGGCAGAGCCGGGGTGCATGGGCAGAGCTGACCATGGAGCCCCAGGCTGTAAGAGCAGGGCTCACTGCCTGCAGAGCACCCTGCCAGACTGAGGAGAGGGCAGGGGCACGTATGTGTGCACGGGCCAGGAGTTACCCCAAGCTCCTGCCCCCCTGCATGCTTTCGGTGCAGGAGACACGCTCCTTACATCGCTGCCAGGGCTGAGGCTAAAGGCAGTTTTCATGGGAGGATCCATCCCTGCAGGGCTCCTCTTCCCATCAGAGAGCACATCAGGCGGCAGACAGACATCTGCAAGGTAATCACGACACACCAATGGAGCTGGCTCTGCCCAAAACCGGGAGAATCCTTGCGGAAAGCAGGGCAGCCCCCACAGCTTTAACCATAACCAGCCCACCAGAAAGCTGCTGCCAGAGAAACGATCCCGTCAGCACCTTGCTTCACTGCTTGCTATGCCACGTTATGTCCTTCTCCCACTTCCTCCAAAAGCCAAAAAAAAAAAAAAAAAAAAAAAGTTAGTGCAAATAGAAGAAAGCTGTCTCCTTCCCAGGGCCTGGGAGACAAACCACAGAGGCTTCTACATAGTTGTGTAGCTTCTTCCTTCCTATCCAGTCATCCCAAAAGCATTCAAGTAATTTTAAATCTAGGATCTTTCTTTGGCATGCCAGGATACCATCCTCAGTAAGAATAGGTCCTGGGGACTGGATCCCCTGTAAAGTGGCTGAAGTCTGTAAACACTAAAGTGGGCGTTTCTGCCAAGTGATGCCAAGACACAGGCTCCAGTGCTGCATTTGTCCCTTCCCAATATTTCTAATGTACCTCCTCCACAGATATCTACAGGAAAACCAAAAGCAATTTCTATTAATTATATATATATTTATCACTGTGACCTTCAGACTTATGCGAGAGCCCATTTTAAACTCGAGTTAATTTTAAAAGTCTGATTCTAAGGAAAACTCCACACTGTACAGGCTCACTAAGAGTTTCCCACGTGGTAGTTGCCAGCCTTGCCCCATCTGCTGCCCACAGCACCCCAGCTGGGACGGACAGCGGGATGCTCACCAACCAGACCCAGCACTGCGACAAACATCTCGCTTTCTCTGTAAGTCACGGGACGGGGCTGGTATTTTGGAGAACAGGTACAGCCTCTTCTCACAACAGATCATCCCCCAGAGGATCCCATGTTGCCTCCGAGCAGGCCTGCGGCCAGCAGCTATTCCTGTCCCATTGATGAGCTATTGCTGTCACGGCTGTTGCTCAGCAGCACCCAGGCACAGTATTAATAACAGCTAAAGGCTGGCAGCCTGCCAGGCAGCGTCCTCGCCGGCAAGAGAAACCACCATCACTGCTGGTGCTGCTCCTGAGGGCTGGGCCCACTTCTGTGGGAAAACGTGGGGTGTCGGAAAAGGTGTGAGCAGGGGGGGCAAGCCGCGCCTTGCCGGCGAGCAGCCCCAGCGATCTGTTAGCACGCAGTGTTTTTCCACTTGCTGCTGTGTGCTGACATTTCCCCGAGGTCAGGAAGGGAGCAGCTACTGCAGGGCAGGCGCTTGCCCTATTAGCATAGCGGGAACAGTAACCCTTTTCTTTTAATAATGCTGAATTGCCGGGCAGGCGCTGCCGGGGCAGGGCTGGCAGCACAGGCAGGGTGGTGAGAGAAGAAGGGGTGGAGAAGACGTAAAACCTGCTGCCCACGGGAAGCGTCACCAGGGAGGCTGTGGAGACCATGGCTTTCCACAGACAGGGCTGAACCCCTCCTGCACTGGACCAGCCCTCCTGTGCCCCCAGTCTGCCCGGGAAGGCCCGGCACACAGCCCCCCTCGGCTAGGGCTGGGGCTGCGATGGCACCCCGGCACAGACCTCAGCACTGGGCTCCAGCCGAGAGGCCAGCGGTTTCTGCTGGGCTTGACTGTTGAAGAGGCATCAGGCACCACAACAGCTGGACCATGAGAAGCCTACTGAGATACGTGAACACTGAAGAGCAGCAGAAGACATTCCCTAGCTTCCCACTGTCCCGCCTGCCACCACTATTTTTCCCTTAAAAAGTTCCTCATTAAAAAGAATCCCAACATGCATGCTCCAGTCTCCAATGGTGCATTGGGGAACATAAGAAAACTATTAAGATCCACTTTTTTTTTTTTTTTTTTAACAGATGATAGTCTAAACTGTTTGGTTTTGATTATGAAAACAAACCAGTCAAACAGAAGTCAGGTACCTGGTCCAAGGGATGACATAATTTTGTCACTCATAATGGGGCTACTGCCCTTTGCTGCTCAACCAGACATTGCCAAACATCCCATTGGTAGTGGCCCCAGTCCAGGCAGGCAGGGAACTGCGGCTCTTCCCCCATCTGCCCTGGTGACCAGGTCAGCCCTGCTTGCCTGAGAGCAGGGAAGAGACCCTGGAAGAGGGCACACAGCACCAAGAGGGATGCCATGGGATGGGGATCAGCAAGGGAACAGTTTTGACCAGTGCAGGCTTGATTACGAAAGATCGCCATCCATCGTGATCAGCCTTGTCACACACATGCACAAAGAGGCCATTTAACGATAAAGGCGAGTTATTTCCAGCAGGGCAATTGCTGCTTCTACTTTGAGGAGCGACAGACGAGCTATGAATATACCGTATGGGCTGGTGCTGTGGCCAGGACATGGGGAAATCCCCCAGCCTTTGCCCGTGGGGCACATGCCCCTCACCCAGCAAACCAGCCCGTTCCTTGTACTGCAGCTACTGCGAACTTCCCTCCCCGCGAGCAAGCCAGCATCAGCAGCGGTCGGCTGCGGCGCACCCAGCCACGGCTCATGCCCGGAGCCTTAAGCGGGGTCCTGGGGCGCAGACAGGACGTGCTGGGGACGGGCACTGCCTGCGAGGGGGGATGTCGGGGTGCCACACGCTGCTGCAGGCTGCACCGGAGACCCAGCATGGTGGGAGAGCCTCCTCCTCTGACGGGCA